GTTCAGGAGTGATGAGGTTGCAGTTTTCCAGATGGCACACCAGTGCATCGGCAACTATGGATTCCATGACCTTGGAGAGTATAAGAAGAAGGGTTACTGGGCGGTAGTTGGAGGGATCAGTTCTACTTCCACCTTTGTGGATCGGGCTTATTATTCCAAGCTTCCACATGGCGGGAACTTGGTTCTGGTCTAAGCAGTGCTGAAAAAACTGAGCTAAATGTCCTGCCAGTTGGTTTGCTGCTGCTCCCAATGCCTCTGGACGAATGGTGTCGATACCCGGCGAGCTGTGTTTGCGTAGAGAAGTCAGCTTTTGCAATACAGCCTCTGCGGTAAAATTGATGTGGGCTAGTCCTGGTGAGCAGAATACAAAGCTTGGTAGATTGCTTGGTGGCAAGACTCTTTGAAACGTGGGGGCGTATTGCATCTGCAGTGCGTTTGCAGCTTCCATAGACGTTCTTGTTGGACCATCAGCCGTCTTGAGTGGAGAAAATCCTTGCCTCACCTTTCGTAGGCTATTAACGTGCTTGTACAGCAGTTTGTGGTTAGAACTGAATGTTTTTGCGATGTTCTGCTGATAGGCGGCTTTGTCTTCTCTTAACAGTTGAGTGCAGTGGTTACGTTGGGTCAGTATCTCTGAATGCCAGGGCAGGCCAACACTTTTCGTCCGTCAGGATGCGGACCACAGATCTGTCATATTAATGGCTAAGTGTGCTATCGGACATGGTGCAATCGCAAGCTCACTGATATGCTTGCATTCGCCTTCATAGCTCAGATAAAGTATTCCACCAAAGTCGTGTCCATTTTCAAATAATCACTATTATTGTTACCACTAATGTGGCGATGTGAGAAACTCAAATAGACCTGCGACTTGTCGATGCTCAGATAATAGTTGGTCAGTGGATGGGACTGAACTGATAATCACCATACAACTTTCAATAGCTTTTTGTGACAAGAGATGACTTCAGTGAACGGTAACAAAACGGTCAGCAACAGCTGCTCTATCTCATCACTAAGTATTAACAGTGTTGTTTGTGTCCAACTGGCTGAAAATTTACTTGCAGTCCGTAAACTCTCTCACATGACCATCGGCACCTGCACAAAAATAGAGTGTTCATGCCAGTCTGTTCGGCTTCTACCACTGATCCATTTAGCAAAAGTAGTTATAAGGGTACTTGCAAAATGACATCCAGTGAAACTCGACAAATAACGGTAAGAAAGCCATCGCACCTTCGTCACGATGATCAAGGTAACGGTAGATTAGCTGACGAGATAAATATCAGTGGGATAGCGCAAACAAATTACAAACGTCGTCACAAAAGAAAACAATTATGTAAAATATACTGCCCAGATATCGGCGTTATTAGCATAAGGTACTAATCTCGTACATAGTGAACAAATCGAATACCATAAGTACTCGAAGCGATGTGCAGAAAATAAACAATTCAACAGAATGGGGCAGACAACACTCAATCGAAGAAGCACTGAGAAATAAAACAATCTTCTACCACTAAATCACCAAACACATTCGAACTGCCGTCGAATGATGGAGGAGGCGGCAATGGGACATTTTACTGGCGTCCAAGTCACCAAAGAAGAGACCAATAAGCAACTGCAATGTTTGCATGCGCTCGTGACAAGACGCCTCCCTCCCGCATGAAACAACAGTCTATCGGAAAACGACGCACGCCCATCAAATCTTGAACTACTGCAGCAATCATTCGTCTACGTGACAACCATTTTCAAACGAGCCTAAAAGCACTGAAGCACGCTGCAATAGGAGAATATGGAACAGAACCACCTATCCAACATGTTTAGATGGAATATTTATGTCCTAAAGTTTAATACCGCACTACTTGAAGTCGAAGAAGTTACCACAACTGCAAAAATTGAGTAGGATGATCCTACCGTACGTCAATGAGATTACTGAGACGATGGTGAGACTTTTAATGCCTCTCAGGATATATGTTATCTATAAAGCGGAGAAAACAATTCGGAACAATTTTCAAGGTGGACAAACTGAGTGAAGGAACATCGGACATGAATTACAAAATTTATCGATGAGAAATGTGATAAGTTTTGAGTGGTCCAGACAAGAGAAAAACTGGACACAATATTGTACGAGCACAGTCTGGCCATCTGCCGATGTAAGAAATCACTAACGCAAGTGTGTATGGATGCTGAAGATAATAACTTTGATCATGGCAGAATAGATCGTTGTTTGAGTAAGCGAATTGGAGAGCATATTTCGAAGCGGATTGCTAAGATGACGGCGCAACATGCAACAGACAAACTGCCGGCGTCATCCATTGCTCGACACCTAGTCGGTACAGGTCATCAATTCGCCCGACTCAGCATTAACGAGTGTCTAACGAAATGAGAACGCCAGGGTTCCCAAGTTAGGCGAAACCATGATCCTTAATCGGCACCGTAATACACTTTGTGTACAGGAGAAACTGCTAGTAGTTTTAAAGCGTCCTGGGAGTATATGACCTTCGACGCAGCTCAACCATCTGTTGTTTTGTGTCTGTGTGCTTTCTGAAAACAATCATTTTCCTCTTTTACGTGATTCATGTATGTTGTTAGTTTGCAAGTGACCAGATAACACGAAAGGTTGTCAGGTTGCAGTGTTTGTTTTCGCACTGCTTTGTTCAAACGTATGGATGATCAGAAGAGCAAGAGAGCGTAGAGTGCCTGATTTCAGGAAGTACTGAAGACCAAACTAGTACTGTGCTTCAGAACAATAAGAAAAATCCATGTCAATTCATCGAACGCCGAGGTTCAAAGTAGGAATAATTCGAAACACTGACTGCAAGGCTGGTTGTTTAGCTGTTGATTGCCTCGCGGAGCTGGATAACATGGTTGTAAAGTTGCAAATAAACTGAACTATCAGTTCACTACCATGTGTGGTGGCACTGTTAGTGCGGCGATGTGCATTGGGCAATCTTACTGATTGGATCGTCCATCTGTGATCAACGGGTGCAAGTCGACGATATCACTCCTAATGGTCGCTTGCTGTCGATCCCGGATGGATGATCCATTATTGCACTGACAATACAACCCCGTATGGTGGCGAAACGGCGAACCAATCGACAGATGTTCAAAGTAATAGTGCAGCGAGAACGACAAGACAGGGGGGGGGGTAGACGTTTATTGCACACCGAAAATGGGCACATGAGGGTCTCGCGCGCGCCATCGAATATCGACTAGATTTCCGTCCCACAACGCAACACAGGTACGGATGTTGGAGACGAGCCAGTCCTTTCGCCTCGGAAGCTCTGACTTGGAAGATCCGCCTTCCTGTTTTCGCCTCGATCTCCGCTTCTCTGCACCCGATTTGGATCGGCCAGGAGTCGTTCGAGAGCTCTCGACTTGCTTGTTCTGGGCTGTGGCAATCGGCTCGGCCTCGGTCCTGTGGGCTGCGCTAGCGGCGTATTTGTCTGATTTATTGCGCTGTCCACATATTCCCGCTCCGTAGTTCCGGGCCCAGGCTCGTCGCTAGCCGTCTTTCGCGATCCGCTCTCAGCTAGCTCCGAAGAGCTCCCCAGAGCCATTCTTGGAAGCGGCCCCTCTACACCCGCCCATCCTCCAGGACCTTTCTTCCTCTCGTACCATGGTCGCAGGAAGAGCAGCATTCACCCAACGTTTCATTCCTCCGCAGTCGATTAAGAAGTTGCCCGCTTTCTGGTCGATAATGGTGTAGGGGCCTTTCCAGCGTTCTCTGAACTTGCTTGCGCCCGGCCCGTCATGATCCGGCCGATCGTTGTTCCGTAACTTGACCCGTTCTCCAATCCTGAATGGCCTCCACTTGTGAGCCTCATGTCTGGCGTCGTAATTTCGCTTATTCCGCGCTTGTCGAGCTTTGGTTTCGCTTCTAGCTTTCCATCGCAGTCGCTCTTGATGCTCAGCTGGATGTTTCCACTCACCCTGGTTCGGTAGGCAAGTATCGAGCGCAATCCGTGGTTCTCTGCCGAACAGTAATTCGAATGGCGAGACCTTGGTGGTTGATTGCATGCTGGTCCGATACGCCATCAGAACCTGAGGCAAAGCATCTTCCCATGCCAACTTCGTGCAGTTTATCCACGTCTTCAATGTCCGGTTGAACCGCTCGGTCATCCCGTTGGTTTGTGGGTGGTACGGTGAAGTTCGCCGTCTCTGGATGCCCCACTTGTCCAACACTGACTTAAACGCTCTTGACTCGAAGCAGGGCCCTTGGTCCGTGATGATACACTGTGGGATCCCATACCTTGCAGGCACATTGAATTCGAATACTTGCGACACTGTCTCGCCTGTTTGGTCCTTGATTGGTATGGCTTCCACCCATCGAGTGAAGTGGTCAATCATCACTAGAATGTATCTGTTTCCTGTTCGACTCACTGGTAAGGGCCCAAAGACGTCCAGTCCCCAACACTGAAGTGGCTCACCAACCTCCATCGATCGCATCGGTGGTCTCGGGGACTCCATCTCCCGACTCGTTTGGCAGTTTGGGCACCCCCGAAGGTATGCCGCGACGTCCTTCCTCATGGTTGGCCAAAACACTCGCCTCCGCAGCAATTCAAAGACCCGCTCGAATCCCATATGGGCGCCATCATGAGTTATGCGCATCACACGTTCTCGCTGATTTGGTGGAACAAAAGGCACTTTCCGTCCCTCTATCGCCACCACCACGTTATCGTTTTCGACCTTCAACCTGTCCCAGATCTTGAGGAGTTCCTCCACCTCCTCCGATGTAGCCTCCGGTTTGGTGCCAGCCCGTAAGTGAGAGCACAACACATTCACGAATTCATCTGTCCTTTGATTTCCCAGCAGGTTCCTCTCCCCCATCGCGATCGCACGCACCGGTATGGCATTGTCTGGCATGATTTCGTCCAAACACGGGCGTGACAACATATCTGGCAATACATTTTGCGTTCCATCCACGTGCTCAATGGTGAAGTTGAATTCCTGCAATCGGTAGGCCCATCGCGCAAGCCGTCCCCGCGGGTCTTTCGCCGTCATCAACCACGAGAGCGGTTTGTGGTCAGTGACGACCCGGAATTCATTCGCCAGTAAGTAATTTCTCCACTTCTCTAACGCCCACACGATGGCCAAGCATTCTTTCTCCGTTGTTGAATACTTCTGTTCCGCCCCCGTCAGCACTCTGCTCGCGTACTCCACCACCCCAGCCGGTTGAGACAAAACCGCACCGATTGCCACGTTGCTTGCGTCGACAGCCACAGTGAACCTCTCACCAGGATTGGGTAGCCGTAGACATGTCGGGGCTTCTGCGATGCCTGCCTTTAGATGGTCAAAGGCCTGATCCGCTTCAGCTGTCCACACGAAGGGCACGTCCTTGCGAAGCAGCTTTAACAACGGGCTGACCTTCTCTGCGAACTGGGGCACAAACTTTGAATCATATGCCACCACTCCCAAGAACGAACGGAGCTGACGCTTGGATTTTGGTTTTGCGAAGCACTTGATCGTCTCGCGTTTCTCCGGAAGTGGCTGGACTTGACCATTGCCCACGATGTGACCCAAGCATACAATTGACTTTTGGGCAATCTGCGACTTTTTACGACTGAGTTTCAGACCAGCTTCATCCAGCCTCTGCAGTACTGCTCCAAGTCTGGTCACATGTTCCTGTTCCGTCTCAGAGAAGACGATGATGTCATCACCGTACACAACCACGCCTTGCAGGTTCGCGAGGACCATCAGCAACAAACGCCTGAATGTAGCCGGGGCGTTGCACAATCCAAACGGCATTCTCAAAAACTCATACTGCTGGCCATTGACACTGAAAGCCGTCTTGTGGCGATCTTCTTCTGCGATCGGCAGTTGCCAATATCCCGAGCGGAGATCAATCAGAGATATCTGCTTCGCACTGTGAAGGCTTGAGAAAATTTCTTCCATCTGAGGCATCGGGAATGCATCCTTCACCGTCACCCTGTTTAGTTCTCTGAAATCGATGCAAAATCGATAGGTTCCGTCGGCCTTCTTCGTCAATAGCACGGGTGATGAATACGGGCTGTGCGTTCGCCTGATGATTCCTTTCGATTCCATCTCGGTCACCTGCTTCTGTATCTCCACCAGGGTGTTCTGTGGAATTCGTCTGAAGATTGGCTTGCATTGTCCTCCTGGGATCAACGGTATTCGGTGTTCAACCCAATTGCAAAATCCGTAATCATCTTCCGCGTCTGTGAATAAGTGGGCATACCTGCTCAGTACGTTGCGTATTGCACGGTTCTGACAATCAGGCACGGCTTTGAGGGCACCAACCCGGTCGGTTCTCCCCTTGTTTATCTCGATCGTCTCGTTAGCCACGATCACCACATCGTTTTTCAGGTCAATTGTGACACCGAGCCGTTTCAGGATGTCGGTCCGATGATGGTTTCGGTCGTCTCCTCCACGATGAACATGTCATGGCTGATGAGCGTTTCTCCTATCCTGATTCGTAACCGCTGCGTGCCCGTCACTTTCAAAGAATGCCCGCCGACCGTCTGCATCGTGATTGAAGATGGGTTTACTGGAACCCCATTGAACCTCTTCGTAATTGACACTGCCGCTCCTGTGTCTACTATGGCTCGGACAGACACACCTTCTATAGTTACCTGGAGGACTGGTACTCGCCACCGACTCGGCATGGATAGAGAGAAACAATGGGGCACATTGACGTTGGTGCAGAATCTCGCCACATGACCATTCTGGTTGCATCGGAAACAGCGGCGACCGTTCCGGATTGCCCGTACATTGCGTTGTGAAGTGGTGCTTGAAGACTCTATCGACCACATCTGCTCCACCATTTCGGATAGGCGATTTACTTTCTGTTGCAACTCAGCATGCTGGATGCTTCTCACTGTCACTCGTTCCGACAAACTCTGGGCGACCGTCACCAGATCCAACGCTTTGCTGTCTCCCACCAGCGACGCCAATTTCACCTGATCATGGAGTGGACCGGGCAGACTTCGGATAAACTGCTGTTTCAGTAGGCGCTCTCTTGCTTTGCCCTCTAACTCGGGGAGCCCAATCGTTAGATGTCTGTCCAGCTGCTGGAAAAACACCATCAAATCCTCCTGTTAGTCCCACCTGGCTGCGTGAAATCGTCGCAGTGCTCGTTCTCTCTCTAGATCCTTCCCAAATTCTGCACACAAGGCAGCCCTCATCTCAGCGAACGAACAACCGGGTTCGGCCTTTCGAGTGAGCAAATACACCGCCTTGGCTCGTCCACTCAACCGTGTGCCCAAAGCAATTAGCAAATTTGCATC